ACAAAATCAACTCCATCACTTTTGTTGTTACAAGACCAAATACATTCCGTTTATTTACAAAACAATTCTATTGATAATAAAACCATAACTCACATTAGTCCACCACATTCATTTCAAACCATTCCAAAGCCAAAGTTAACCCCTTAGGCATTAACACCTTCACCCAACTCACATCAACAATAGAGATTTACAATATAGATTCACTAATCTCCATTTTAATTTATCAATCAAAATATGATTTAGGCCTTTTTCCTTTATCAACTACAACATGCTAATTTACACTCCAATTAGCCCAAAACAACCATTAATGACAATATAACCATTTTTCAACACCCAACCCTAGGTTCCTTCTCATGATTTCAAACAAATCCAACATGGATATGATTTTTATGCAATACAAAACTACCACATGTCTATCTGTAGATGAAGTATTGAAAAAGAACAAGGAGAATCCCTACCTCAAATGTAGAACTCAAGGAGAAGATGAGCAAAACTCGGAAGTGCTCCAAATCCCAAAATTCTTCGATCACAACGAAGCCCTCGACGATCAACACACTTCTTACAAAGGCCCAAGGTGAGGAAAACACTCTAGCTAGATCAATCCTAAGAGAGAAGTTAGGTTTTAGAGTGAGGTGCTCTCCAATGGAGGTTTTGAAAAAGTAAGAGAGAGAAAGGAAATCAAAAAGTGGCCAAAAAGGTGATTTCACGGACTGATATAAAGACAGGTCCGCTCGAGCGTACAAAACCCCGCTCGAGCGTCAGACACAGGTTCACGCTCGAGCGTCAAAAGATCCGCTCGAGCGCTGGATGCACTCTCCCAGAATTTTCTGCAGACGTCCAAAATGCTGAGGGAAGGAAATTCACGCTCGAGCGTCCCAAATTGCCGCTCGAGCGGAGAGGCAACAACACAAGCCCGCTCGAGCGTCAAATCGCCGCTCGAGCGGAGAGACCAAAACCTGGGCAAAAATTCAAAGCTTAAAAACACAGCCAACTTATTCCTAACTTGCCCAACACAACCCAAAACTCTAACACAAAGAGTAAGGGATAGAAATGAGGATAAGACCACAACGAATCTACGGAACCGAGTCCGGATTACAGTTAAACAACAACAGGGAATACCGGGATCGCTATAGTCTTGATTACAGGGATAGAATAAAGGTTTCGACGGTGATCAAGATGAACATCTCAAAGCTACTCACATGCTGTTCAGATGCAATGTAGTGGATTTATGTACTCTGCAAGGCTTGTCATGATGGTTGGGAGCGGGAATGCATGATTTTCCCTCCTTGCTGAGTTATTTGAGCATAAATAATTATACATTGCTGATTTAGCAAGGCATAATTTCCCACGTGTATCAAGATGATATTTCTAGCCATATAGGTGGCAAAAATGCAAAATGGTTCCCTGACATAGTTTGCATTGCTTTGACTTTGGCTTTGTTGTTAGAATGCACAGAAAAATCTGCATTGATCATGCCTCGTATGAAATTTCTGCAGGAAAACTTTACGATGTAGATGCAAAAGAAGTGAGATACGCTGATTGACCAGTTCATTAAGATCTTTAATTGCTTAAGCAATAATTAATCATAACCCACGACAAAAGGCAGATGTGGTCTATTTTCTTAAACAATAATGAATCAAGCTGCTATCAGCTTACGATGATTGACCAGTCCATATGTAGAATGTTATCATGCTCCATCAACCTTAGACAAGGGGATGGCTTCCTTCCTTGACTATTCTTTTAATGTATAAATTTGAGCAGAAATTTGTCATCATTGATGCTAGTCATCTTTTTTCTATTGTTTTACTCTATTTCAATTGGGTATTATTGTAGGAACCCTTTTTTTTTTTCCTTCCTGATGTTCAGCTTCACTAGTTTTCTGTATGTTACCCAACAGTTATAATCCTTTGATACAAAACAACACCCACCCCCCCGAGGAGATATGCCAATGGGACATAATATTAAAATGAAACTTACTCTTGCATTGCAGTTTACGTTGTGTCTCTTCTTTTGTAGGTGCCTCAGATGAGCTCATTTTTGGGAAGAGCTGGAATTGTGGGCCTAGAGAGGGCAGTGGAAGTTCTAGACACACTTGGAAGCGGCATGTCAAACTTGAATTCCAACAGTGGGTTTATCTCTGGCATGGCTTCAAGGGGGAATAAAATCTCCATTTTGGCATTTGAAATTGCTAATACAGTTGCCAAAGGTGCAAATTTGGTGCAATCTCTTTCTCAAGAAAATGTCCAGTTTCTAAAAGAGGAGGTTTTACATTCAGAAGGAGTGCAGCAATTAGTTTCTAAAGACATGAAAGAGTTGCTAAGTATTGCTGCTGCTGACAAAAGGTTTCCCAGTTATTACATAAAATGCGCTTTCTTTTTCTTTTTCTTTTTTTCCCCTGTTTTTGAACAGCTTCACCCTTGCTTGACTGCCTTGTCTGCTTCATGCACTAGGGTTTGTCACAGGATTTTCATCTTTCTAAATTGTAATATGTTTGCATTTTGTAGGGAAGAATTTAATGTTTTCTCCCGTGAAGTAGTTAGGTTTGGAGATCTATGTAAAGACCCACAATGGCACAACTTGGGCCGATTTTTTTCAAAGTAAGCAAGATGCTTTTTAGTTTATATTAGTGAAACTGCTGTTGTTTTCTAATGGAAAGTCATTAATGAAATATTTGTAATTTATCAGATTGGGCTCAGACCATGCAATCAATAAAACACTAAGAGAGGAGGCAGAAATGACAATGCAAGAGTTGACTAACACAGCTCAGCATACTTCTGTAAGTTCTGTTGTATTTTGGAGATGTCATACTTTACTAATGCAGATGTGCCTTGGTTCTTTGATTAGTGCCTAGTAGGGTGCTGCAATTTTTCAGTTTCGTTTTTACTCTCACACTTAAAATCTTTGGCTTTTGGGGGCAATATACTGCACAATATAGTTGTAGACTTCTGCTCTAATCTGTTTTCCTTTTATAATGTTTTGCTTTTTGCAGTCATGAATTGCCATGTTGCCATTTTATTTTCAACGTGCAGCAGTTAAGTGTTTAGGTTGCTGTAGGACTTAATATTCGCGACTTGTAGTTTGTACGTGTAACTTTGGAACTAGTGGTCTTCTTAGATTGCATATTCCAGTTCTGTGTCATTTTGTAGTTGTCAGTGTCACCCAGTTGACTCATTTTAGTGCATCTGTGTGTGCTTGTATAAAGGCACATACATAGATTATATGGTGATTCAACAATGATTTCCTAAAATTTGCCAGCAGCAGCAGACATGGTTTATTTTCTTTGTAAAATTATGCTGAATGTTTTTCATTAGCCAATAAAGATTGCTGTACTACGAGACTGCCATGCACTATGTTGTTGTATGTGAATTTGTTTTAGTTTCCAAAAGCATTCATGAAACCTTTGAAAGTGTTTTTGAAGTGAGCAAACTCATAAAATTTTGGGCGAACAATTAAAAGTTCAAGATATGTTTTTCAATACTAGAATAAGATCTAATTTCAATTTGCTGTTTTTAATAGCTTTTTAGTCAGTTTGATTTACACTAAAAGGCTTACTCCTTGATTTGTAGGAACTATATCACGAATTGAATGCTTTGGATAGATTTGAACAAGATTATCGGCGGAAGCTTGAAGAATTACAGTCCTTAAATCTCCCTCGTAAAGGTTAGAAATGGTTATTGTTTTTCTTCCAAAGTAGTCTTAGATATAAATGAATTTCAATTCTAGAGGTAAAATTGTCATATTATCTTCTTTTCATCCATAGATATATATGGTTGCCTAATAAATCAAAGACTGGATAATAACTGGGGAAAGCATTCACACACACACACACACACACACACACACACACATATATATTTCCAGGCAACCTACTAGCTACTACTTTTCTATTTTTGTTCAGCTTTCATGAACATTTTGATTTGGTTCATGTTTGTAATTGTCTTTAAGTGGATATGCTATGATATAATTTTAAATTCTCATACTAATGATTTTTTTTTTCCGCATTGGCTTTATTGTTTCTCTGCTTTTCAACATTATCATGAAATGAGGCCAGGTTTTTCTGTGGTTCTTTGGTCCTGTTTTTATGAGAAATGGTTAATGTGTTCATTTTTTGGCTATATTTTGTTTGCCCATTCTAGCAATGGGATGCAAAAAGTTAAATGGTGTTATTTTTAGTTGGAGGTTGGGGATCAAAGCCTCATTTCAATTTTGAAATGCTGAATGGCATATGTCCGAATCTGTTATTTTGTGCAGAGCTTATCGTTTTAGATGGAATTGATTGTAGTTTCGTGGTTTGGTTTTACTGTAAGAACTTGTCCTATGGTGTTAGTTTATCAATAGTTTGATATATGAGGACATATACCATTTAGACTTCATGGCATGATTTAGTTATCTCATGAAGGTATAGGGCTATAATTACCAAAAATAAAAACAACATCAAATTAGTACACATTAATGTGTGTTTGGGAGAGGAAAATTTAGATATACACCTAACTTTTGGCATAATGCACATAGTGGTTTCCTTGAGACTTGAACCCATAACCTCAAGGTTATTAGGCTAAGGTTTTACCATTGAACCCATGGTCATCCCTTTATAATTACCAAAAATAAATAAAATAAAGTAAAATAAAAGGGGATTAATGGACTCTAACTATTTCTCTCATGCTATAGTTGATATTGCCGTCCACATTTTTTTTTTTTTTTTAAAAACTGGTTGTGGCATTTTGTGCTATAAATATACTGTATTCGTAGTGGAGCACACTTAAAAGTTTTTGTGCATATTCAGGGTGCAAATTAGGATTTTGTTGTTTCACAAACAAGTGCAGCAAGGCCATCTTACTGTCTCTCCCAGAACTCTATGGTAGTGTTCTAATGCATATAATGAGATATTCAATTTCTAGTGGCACTGATGTGGTGTGCATGCTTGCATTATTACGGTGCATTTGTGAATAAGTGTAACCTATGTGCAAATTATAAGTTAGATGAAACTTCTGGATATCTTGTGAAAGCTTTTTTTTTAATCAAAGATGTAAATGCTCAACGACATTGTTTAATGGAAAAAACTTGTTTTTTAATTTTTTAGTTCTTTTTTTGCTATGTTGGGCGATAAGAGTTTGTCATTCAGCATACACCTTCTATTTGTAGACGTACTTCGCAGGGTTTTTTGTTTTTCTATTAACAACAATACATGTTCATTTCAATTATGTCCATCTGCTTCTCTCATTAACTTACTGTGATGAAATTCATGTATGATAATTTTCTGTGGATATTTGCAGATTTTTGATGTTGATTGTCGGCATTAGTTTTCTGATATCCAGTACAGTAAGTTGGATTCTTTTAATTAACTGGCATTTCTTGTAATTGTAGGAGAGAGTGTCATGATTTTACAAAGTGAGCTAAAAAACCAAAGAAAACTTGTGAGGAGCTTGAAAAAGAAATCTCTTTGGGCTAGGAGTTTGGAGGAGGTACATGATTGTGCATCACTTTTATTTATCAATTGGCTGAAAATGCAAAAGTATTGATGATCTTCAAGCTGGATTGGATTTCTTGATCTGTTTCTATAATTTAATCTTGAAGCAATTTTTGCTATAAATCAAGGGTCTTTTCTGTCAATAGTTGATTTAATCTTCTTTCCATCTCTGGAACTGACGTTCTGCTGCCTTTCTTGATGTGGATGGCAGTGTGTAAATATGTTGGATTCTATTCGTTAATTGTTCCACAGGATATGGTGCAATGAATGCATTTCTGCTGTTTTGATGTTAAAGTATTGATGATCTTCAAGCTGGATTGGATTTCTTGATTTGTTTCTATAATTTAATCTTGAAGCAATTTTTGCTATAAATCAAGGGTCTTTTCTGTCAATAGTTGATTTAATCTTCTTTCCATCTCTGGAACTGACATTCTGCTGCCTTTCTTGATGTGGATGGCAGTGTGTAAATATGTTGGATTCTATTCGTTAATTGTTCCACAGGATATGGTGCAATGAATGCATTTCTGCTGTTTTGATGTCAACAGTCAAAACTTCTTTTAACCTATATATTTTTTGTAGGTCGTGGAGAAGCTTGTTGATATTGTTACTTTCTTACATCAAGAGATCTCAGAAGCATTTGAAGATAATGGTATGAACAACATAGTAATAAATACAAAATAATCAATATTAATTGCATGAATTGATATATTTAAATATATATATATATCGGCCATTGTCATAGTTTGCTTTTTACAGTTTTTTTTCTTGAAACAAGCCCCTTTCACCTGTTCCATCACATGCTTCCTCATTTGGTATCTCATAATTTGTAATGGCCAAATAAATGATAATTTAAAAGAGAAAATGTAGACTCATTTTATGCACCTAAACAATGACATGGGTTCATTGAATGCCCATGCACGCTAGAAGAATATTTCACTTGAGCCTCGAAATTTCGTTAAGCAAATGCAACACACCAGCAAATCTGCTATCTGTTTCCCAATTCTAATTGGTTGTACAAGACATTTACTGTTATCATTTAGCACCCAGGCCTTCAGATTGTGATTTTGTGTTCTAGTGGTCACTAAAGTGTATTTGGTATTTATATTCACTTTTCATTGTGCGGTCATTTCATGGCAGGTTTGGTTTTGGTTGGCACAGAGCGTGATAACAAACCAGAAAGACTAGGTGTAGCCGGTCTTGCACTGCACTATGCCAACTTAATCAATCAGATAGACAACATTGTAAGTTTAACTCTTTCTTGTCTTTTATTGGTAATACTTTTCATAGGGTAAATTACACTGGCTAGCCTGATCTTTGGTGAAACTACACATACTATCCCTTGTGTTTTGGAATTTACAATGACCTCTTCCACACTACTGGTTGTTTGCAAGTAACAGTGTTAATTTAGTTTGTCCAGTTATGCATGCCATTGCCCTTAGTTTTTTTGCAACATAATTTAATTTAAATATAATAATTTTTGGGCAAAGTCAATAAATACACTTTCCTTCCACCACAAAACCACCACAAAAGTTAATTAAAAATTTTATATTTTTATTTATTTGTTTGATGAAGACTTGGACCAAATTTATCAAAGGGCAAAGTAGGCATTTAAATAATTTATCACATGTCATCATCATAATATGTTTATGTCACTAACGGTAGGCGGGAATTTTTTTGAAGGCTTTTTTTTAAAAAAAATTAATTTATTACGGAAGTTTTTGCTTTTTACATTATAATTTCTTGAACATTATATAGAACATGAGGGGCTGCAGGTGTGCCATTGATAAACCTCAGAGGTGTTGGCGTAGAGCTCGTTTGAAAAGTTGACCATTTTAGGGGTTATTTGGCATGATTGATATAAGTGCACTTTTTTAGGTCATTTCACCTCTCTACTTTTCTGCACATCTTTACGTAAAAAGTCAAAAAGTATACTTATTCAGATCATCCTAAACAACCCTTAGTTGGCCTTTTGGCTTTTTAGTTATTTTTGCCTGGCTAAAAATTATATTTGGGAAGTTGGTTGGTTTTTTATTTATTTTTATTTTTTATTTTTTTATAGTTAATTTGATGGTTGTGAGAGAAAAAGTGAAATGGTTATGGTTTGGATATGACATTTTGTCTTATTGACTATTTTAACTTATTTTGTCATTGTTGACTGTTTTAGCCAGAAAAGCCATTGCTGAAGAGGGCCATAATTTACCCTTTTTTCATATAGATGGTGTTGCATAACCAAATTTATGTTGATTTTCAAATATAAATTCTTTTTTTTTAGGCATCTCGGCCTACCTCCCTTCCTGCTAACATGAGAGACCAACTATATCATGGGTTGCCAAACAGTGTCAAGATTGCTCTACGTTCTCGGTGCCAAACCATTGATACCAAGGAGGAGGTATGCCTTAAATAGAATAGTGTAGTTCCTGTAATGCTTTGCATGCTTGTTTCCATGGACTTCTTTAAATGATTCAATTTGTATTCTTTAAGTGTACAAATGCAATCATTTAATTTGTATTCTTTAAGTGTACAAATGCAATGTGTGTATTTACGTAATTAACTTAGGCACTTCAACTTTTGGCCTTTATGCAGCTTACAATTCCTCAAATTAAAGCTGAAATGGAAAAGACACTTCAATGGCTTGTTCCGGTGGCTACAAACACTTCCAAGTATGTTGAATGGGATTGTTTAATGAATCTGTCAGCTTTCTGCTTTGCCTATGCTTGAATTTGAAATCTATGAATATTTTCCTGCTCAAGCTTTTAGCTGCCATAATATGGTAATACATGCATTTACATCTTTTTTCCTTCTTATTTGGTCGACAGGGCTCATCAAGGTTTTGGGTGGGTTGGAGAGTGGGCGAACACCTGGTTAGTTATTCGCCTTTCTCTTACCTAGTGCATCATATTTTCTTTTTTGCCAACACTGACATTTAGCCGCACGTGTTCTTTTCTTGCAGTAATGAGTTTGGCAAGAAGGGGGACACCCATAATAACGTGATTCGCCTCCAGACGCTTCATCACGCAGATATGCACAAGACAGACCACTACATCCTTGAAATGGCAGCATGGCTTCACCGTCTAATCAGTGTTGTGAGACACAGAGATAATGGAATCTGCAGAGCTTTGCCAGTTCGATCTCCAACAGGCAAAGGACTGCATCTGCAGCCAGTGACGATGCAGCGACTCCCATCCCTGATTGATTCTCCAAAGGTCCACAGTGCCCAATTGTCACTAGAAGATAGAAATTTATTGGAAAAAGTGATGAACCGGAAAAAGTTGGGTCCTGGAATAAGCAAAAGTCAGGAATTTGGTTTGGCCAAGAAGAGAGGGAGCAAAGTTTGGGCATTGAGCAGGAGTACGGGGAACTCTCCGAGCTGGCAATCGGAGGTTCCAAAATCTTGTGTTTTGGATGTAATGGATGGATTAGATACAATATTTTGAGAGCATTCATTAAATTTCATTATGAGCATTTTTTCTTCATTTATTTATTAAATATTTACATATGTTTATTCTCTCATTGTTGTATATACCTTTTTGCATATGGTCTTAGATTGATATATGGAACACAATTAAGATTTTGTGGACTCATAATTTGTGCACCCAGGAAAAGGAAAAAAGAAAAAAAAAATGTTGTGGTAGACCCTCACGGTCAAATAGCCAGTGGCCTGTTGTTGGAAGTGGGGATGTAAGAAAAATCAATAAAATTGAGTTGACCGGTTGAAATTTTAATTTTTGGTCTGTTTTTTATAACATATGGTATGTTTCGGTTTTAAAATTTTTTGTACCAATGTAAATCGAACTAATTGTATATTATATTTAAATATTTTTACATTATAATTTCTTGAACATTATATGAGAAGTAGCTAATGTAATATATTTTTGTAATAAAAATTAGAGAGAAAAATATTTATAGAACAATTTTCATATATTTTCTTCATTTATATTTAATGAAAAATTTTATAATCTATTATAAAATTTTCTAAAATTTCATATAAATTTCTCTCCTACATCAAACCGACAAAATCGAACCGTAGCATATAGTCTATATCAGTTTCTTGATCATAAAAATTGAAAATATTAGTGCGATGCTAAATATACTCTAAACACCGATCAAACCGAACTGTTTACACCCCTAGTTGTAAGACATTAATGAATGCTCATTTTGTTTTAAAAGTTTGGAATAGTTGGGTCTTTCTGGTATATAACCTTTGAAATTGAATGTAATATAAGCTTGGGGTATTGTCACGACCCAAACCCGCCCCTATGGGTTAAGGTCATAACCGGCTAGTAATCACGAGATTACTTACGGCCTCAAACTAAATAAAACAAAACTCATCAGAGTAAAGGGGTCAAACGGAAGCAAATTTAAAACTTTGTCCATAGAGCTGTGCTTATATGCACACCATAACATTCCAAACATTTATATGTTAATAACTCACATCAAAATATGTACTAACACAGAACACTGTACATACAGGATCATACAAGTTTAAGTCAGTTGAACCCAAGACTTATATACAAAAGTAGTCTAATGCTTTCGCCAACATAACAAAACTATAAACAAAGGACAAAGGCGAAGACAGTCTCGTGCGTGAGACGTTTGGGCTGACTCCTTAACATTTTGACTGTTTCTCACAATTTCACCGCAGCTGGTTCTGGACGTCCCTTGGCTCACCTACATGAACATGAATGAGCGTGAGCGAAAGCCCAGTGAATAATATCAATAACGAGGATACATAAGCAATTTTGAAACAGTTACAGCAGGCGACCTTTGGCTCGGTCACTTGTATCAATCGGTCTTCGGCCCAATCATTTATGTCAATTGGCCTTCGGCCCAATCATTTATGTCAATTAGCCTTTGGCCCAATCAGTCATGTCAATCGGCCTTCGGCCCAATCATTTATGTCAATAGGCCTTCGGCCCAATCATTTATGTCCATCGGCCTTCGGCCCAATCATTCATGTCAATCGGCCTTTGGCCCAATCATTGATATCAATCGGCCTTTGGCCCAATCATTCATGTCAATCGTTGTCCACCATTCAAATTAATGAATTTACAAAACTTACATAGAAGTAAACAATTGGACGACAACATATTTCAAATATCTTGTTAAGATATTACTCATAGTGATCGGTTGGTTGGTTTGCTCTGGAGCTCGACCTACACATTCCATGAACACAAAAGGGTCACAAACAATTCAATCCGTTCAAAATTCACATTTTTCTCTTTAGGCTTCATTCTTATCTCTTTAACTCAATTATAATGCTCAATACATGCCTAATACTTGGAAGTGAAAGAGAACAGAAAATAAAACACAGAATGTCTTTTCAAAATTTCAGAAAACAGGGTCCCTGCTCGAGCGGACCCTTGAGGCTTGCAAAAGTACTGGATATGCCAAATTTACGCTCGATCGCGAACTCTGGCGCTCGAGCAGAAGGCCTCTCTACATGGCTCCCCGCTCGAGCGTTAACTTACCAGCTCGAGCGGAAACAATGTCTGCAGAAAATACTGGAACCACGAATTTCACGCTCGAGCAGCGGGAATCAAAATTCTGGAAAATCCAGAACATGTTCTTGAGCTCCAATTCGACATTCTAACCAACATTTCTTGCATGCAATAGCTCAAACTTCAAATACACATGCACTAACATCGTATAAATCCCAATTTACAACCCAATGAAGCTCAATCTCATCATTTAATCACATGCATGCCCCAATCTACACCAAATTCACCTCCAACATAACAATTTCATGCATTCAAGTTCATGTTCTTATAAATTGTACATGCATGTGAGATATAACTCTCCTTATCAACTTAAGTGGTGCAAATGGTGATCACAAGCATGAATTCTAACCAAAATCTTACATGGATCAAATATTTTGTGGTTAAACATGCAATTTCAAAGCAATTATACACATGCATGCATACATTGACCTTCTATTCAACATTATCAACTCAATTTCATTTCAATTCTTACTCTTGATCATTAATCAACTTGAATACACCAATTATACATTAACTCATGAATTCAAAATCAATTGCTTACCTAGAAGCCCAATCTTCTCAATCTATAGCAAATTCTTGAGTTCAATCCTCCAATCTTGACAAACTTGAGCCAAACGCCCAACTCCCTTTTTTCCTCTCTCTAGCCGACCCCTTTCCCTTTTCTTAGAGTTTATAATCAGCCAAATGAAGCTAAGAAGAGAAATTGAGTGTATAAAGGTCCCTTATAAGTTCCCACTCAACACATTATTTTATTATAAAACAATTGGACACTAATTCCTTAATTAAATCAATTTAATCTAATCCGAATTAATTTCTAATTAAATTTCACCGTAGGCTCTAAAAATTACGCTAATCACAAAGGCGCAATCGATTTCAGTTTCTGTGGCCGATAGGGCCTTCAATTTAATTTCCAAAGCAAATAATCAAACAGATATTCCTACGGTGAATAGATAGAACTTCAAAGCCACATATTTTCACATAATGGCACACAAAATCACATTAAACACATAATCATATTCATATTAAGGACCAATTAACACAAAACGGAGCAGGGTTATCACAATCTTCCCCCCTTTAGGAAGTTTGGTCCCTCAAACTTATTTTACCTTCGTCGGGAAACAAATGTGGATAGCGTAGTCGCATTTCCTCCTCTTTTTCCTATGTAGCATCCGTCTCATAATGTTCTTTCCATTACACTTTCACCATTGGGATGGACTTGCTTCTTAATTGTTTCACTTGCTGATCAACAATTCGTTCCGACCATTCAGCGTATTCCATATTTTCATCAATAGTTACCCGATGATAATCAATCACATGAAATGGGTCTCAGAGGTAACCCCTCAACATCGACACATGAAACACGTTATGGATTTGTTCGAATCCCGGTGGTAAAGCAACTCTATAGGCAACTGGGCCAAGCCTTTCCAGAATCTGAAATGGCTCAATGTAACGGGGCGACAACTTGTCATTCTTTCCAAACCTGACTTGGCCTTTCATCGGAGATACACGGATGAACACAAGGTCACCAACCTCATACTCAAGAGGTTTTCTCCGAACATCTGCATAATTCTTTTGTCGGTCCTGAGCTATTTTGAGCCTTTGCCGAATGATCTTGATTTTTTCAGAAGTGTCTTGCACAATTTCAGGCCCAAGTAAAGCTCTATCCCCGACTTCTGTCCAACAAATAGGTGATCTACACCTTCTACCATACAAAGCCTCGTATGGTGCCATACCGATGCTGGAGTGGAAGCTGTTGTTGTATGCAAATTTTATAAGTGGCAAATAGTCTTTCCAACTCCCCTGAAAATCTAAAGCACACATTTGAAGCATATCTTCCAAAGTCTGTATTGTTCGTTCTGATTGCCCATCTATCTATGGGTGGAATGCAGTACTGAACCTTAGTTCTGTCCCCATAGCTTCCTGCAAACTTTTCCACAATCTAGATACAAATTTCGGATCTTTATCCGACACAATAGATACTGGAACTCCGTGTAAACGGACAATCTCATCAACATATATGGTAGCTAATCTATAAGCATTAAACGTAGTTCTAACAGGTAGAAAATGTGCAGATTTAGTCAGTCTATCAACTACAACCCAAATAGAATCCATACCTCGAGGAGTCCGAGGTAGGCCGACAACGAAATCCATAGTCACATGTTCCCACTTCTATTCAAGAATTGGGAGAGGTTGCAGTAGACCGCCTGATTTCTGATGTTCAGCTTTAATTTGCTGACACTGAAGACATTTGGACACATATTCTGCAATTTCCTTATTCATTTTAGGCCACCATTAGGTTTGTTTCAAATCCTGATACATTTTCTTATTACCCGAATGCATAGCAAATGCGAATCTGAGGGCTTCATCTAAGACCCTCTTCTTTAGTTCCGGAATATCTGGGATAGACATTTTGTTCTGAAATCTCAACACTTCATTCTCAATGCCAAACTCTGCTTTTGGACTTGTCTCAAATTCATCAATCACTTTCTTGAGGAATTCATCCCCTTTCTGTTTCTATTTGATTTCATCAATGATTGCCGGTTCGGCTGTAATAGCGGCTATCAATCCGCCCTGTTCACACATTACCACTTCAAGTTTAGCCTTCTCAAAATCTTGCAAGATCTCTTTCTGTTCAGTAAGCAAACAAGCCATACTCCCCGTTGATTTTCTGCTCAAGGCGTCAGCAACTGTGTTAGCTTTCCTGGGGTGATACTGAATCTCTAAATCATAATCCTTTATCAGTTCCAGCCATCTCCTCTGTCGCATATTCAACTCCTTCTGCGTGAAGAAGTATTTCAAACTTTTGTGATCCGTGTAGACTTCACACTTTGCCCCATACAAATAA